AGTTTAATATCAAAATCCATGCTATTTATATATTACTGCCTTGACCTATGAATTGTTTATCTCCAGTCAGGTCATGAGGTAGGGCATAACCACACTTGCTGCCACTTAAAGCATTCTTCTCTCCATTGCAGAACAAAATCGTAATTTTGAGAGGTGGGAAAGGAATAATTTATTCCGGAACAACTAACATGTTTCATTTTGTTTCAGATCTACCACAACTCCAATTTTCAGAGAGACAAGCCCAGGCTCCTGGAGAATATCCAGAGAAAAGATTACCTCAGAAACACCGCTCAGCAAGCAACCTGTGTCCCAACTCCAAAGAGAAAGAAGCTGGTAGCTACAAGACGCTCCCTACGTATCTATCACATCAATGCCAAGAAAGAAGCCATCAAAATGCGTCAGCAGGGAGTCCCCAGTGTTCAGGGACCCAGTGGCACTCAGTCCTTCATGTTCTCTGGCATGTGGTCCAAGAACAGTATCACTGGGCATCCCCTGGGAAATAGGCCCCCTCAGGAACCAAATGGCCCAAGTTGGGAGGGCACCTCTGGGAATGTCACATTTGCATCTTCGGCTACTGCCTGGATGGAAGGCATAGGGCAAGTGCCTAGTAGCCCGGTTTACTCAGATAATGGTAGTGTATTGTCTTGGTACAATATCTGTTACTCCATTCTGTTGGCCACCCTCTCAGTCATGTCTCCAAATGAGCCCTCTGACAATGACGAGGAGCAGGAAGGCTCTTCAGATTACAAGTGTAAACTCTGTGAACAGTTCAGAAACAATGCAAGTCTGTGAACTCACAGGCCACTAATGATCGATAAAAGTTGCCATTTGCTAATGAGAAACACATTTTTGGTCTTAATAAAGAAAAACAAAATTCCATGGAAATAAATAATAAACAATTTAAATGAGACCTGTTGTCTGTGTTCTTTTAAACCTTCTATATTATACACATCTCATTGGCACAAACCAGGGGAGGCTGGAAATCCTGTCCAAGACAGGCTTTGGTCCCCATTGTCCTCGTTTATTTGGAGAAGCAGCATTTTCGCACACTCAGCAAAGGATATTGCTAGAAGTGTTGAGGCCAAGCCCAGGAAGACCTGGTCCCCTGAGATTGGCCTGCTAGTCAGGAGAAAGAATAGACTCACTCCTGATTCTGGCAGTATCTTCCTGTATCTTCAAACAGGAGATTGTTTCCTCATGGGTCCCTCCCAATGTTGCCAGGAAGTGTCTGATCAGCAGCTAAGCACCCCTAGCCTAGCATCCAGGGGCCTCCAAAGAGGTCCACTTGAAAGTCAGGCCACCCCATCTGCCATGGGATATACGACGACCATGACATCCTGGCTCAGAAGAGAAGGGCCACTGCAGTCAATACCTGGGGGGAAATGCCCATCATCCTTAAAGATAACAACTAGAAACTTTGCTAAATCACCAAAAAAAAAAAAAAAAAAAAAAATTACTACAAAATAAAACAACACTACTGATCACATTTCCAAGTTTACCTCACTCTACCAGAGCTGTATTTTGGATGTATTGCTAGGATAGGAAGTAGCTATGTGATGCAGGTGACACACATGCTTCAGAAACCGACAGACACTTTCACAACACAGTGAGAGTAACCTGAAAGGACAGACAGCTGCTCTAAGTCTGCTGTCCTCTTCATCCCGGATGAGTCGGTTGATTAATGGCTAGTCACTACCAGGCAAACATTCAGTGCCAGGTCTCAGACTTTCTGCAATGTCTCCTGGATGCTAGTTATACATTTGATGAGTTTTGACCAGAACAAATCAGGGGAAAACATAGAACGAAGTCTCAAACACTAACCAGTCATCTACAACACATTTATTTACACAATCCAGAAACTAGCAGGACCAAAATTAGCAACAGTGCCGAGACATTTACTGGCAGCTTTTCCTTCTACCCAAAGGTCAAAGTACTTGAGACATTGCCTGTGTGTCTAAGAAGGCATCACACCAGGAAAGCCCCTCCCCCTACTTCCTTCATCTGAGAAAAGAAACCTGTTTACATGCACAGTGCTTAGTGGGTGGGACTCTCCAAAGCAGTGGAAATTCAGATTTAACCTAAAGTACATAGGTCTGCGTCATGATGGTGAATTGAAGGTGTCATGATTTAGCTGGTTTCTCTGGAACATTCCTCTCAGGAGCCCACACTTGTCACACTTCATGCCCCGAAGGGATCAGGTGCTCTGGGATGTCTACCTGGAATACATCTTTGCCTCCTTTCCTAGGTATGGGCTCCAGTAACCACCTGGGGTTTGAAATCACAGTCAGGTACTTCTGCTTCAGGTTGGTCAGTACAGCTTGATTCTCTAGTTCCACAACCTCATCGGGAGTTAAGTCTTCGGGGCATTGCAAAGTTTCCCCAATGTCAATGAGTCCTGTACACAAAGAGAGATACATATGAATGCCTTTCACTTCCATAGCCCAAGGCCTGCCCATGTGACAACACGGTTACTCAAAGTCACAATCAGAGAGTAAGGTGGCATCAGCAAAATGACAAGAAGGGAGTCAAGTCCTTCTTCCACTGCTTTGATAACGAGCCAAACCCTGGGAGAGGCAGGGGAGGGCTCCAGAAAGGCAGAGGAGAGGGCCTTGTCCTTGATGAAGCCACACAAGTAAAAGGCAGGTCCACGCCAGACTTCCGAGGGCAGCGGTTGCAGATTGGAAGGGCACCAGCCACTGCCTGGGAAGCTACAGGTGATGCCTGAGCAGGTCACCAGGGGACAGATGCTGTCGTCAGGCCTCAGTCACCTAGAGGTTAGGGGACTTGCCCAGGGTGCCGTGAGTGGTGGGGCTGGGGCAGGCTCGTGAAGCCAGGCAGGCAGCCCAACTCTAGAGGCCACCTGACCCATTCGGCGGGCTGGGCTGCTTTCATGGTCTCTGCCACACATGTGCACTCACACATGTATGCACACACACATACACACAGAAACACCACAAGCACCACGTGTACATGGACCTGATCTGGCTTCTCACTGAGATCAGAAACAGGAACTGAGGCCCAGAGTGGAGAAATGATTTACCAGAGCTCACGGAAGCTAGGCATGCCAACCCCCAGCCCAGGGCCCTTGCTGTCCCTTTGAAGGTGTGCTGCCAAAGGAAACTGTGGTATACATGCCAATCAGTTCAGACAACAACCAAAGTCCCCAAACTCCCAAGCAAGATCTTGGGTGGCAACTGTAGGCGTTGTCTGCACATTTGGCACATCGTCACTTACCCGCTATCACTCCTCGACCAAACTTCTCCCCTTTCCTGAGCAAAGCCTGAATCTGGGCAGGAGTCATCCCCAGCCTCTCCACCAGCAGCTCCTGCCAGGCGTCGTCATCCTAGTCCCTGTGAGCAATGTGGACGGCGATGGTACGGTTCCGCTGGCTGCTCAGCAGGGGATGCCAACGAGTCTCCACAGTCTTGACTCCATCTTCGCAAGCGCCCCGGGCCTCCTGTGGCCTGCAGAAGCACAGAAGCGCATCACATGCCAGCCCTCCAAGCTCACAGGCAGTGGCCTGACCATACCCCTGTGTCTCTCAGGTGGCCTAAATCCCACTGACCCTGATGGTCCGCTGCTTCCGTCTGTCACTGATGTCCCGTGCCACGGCAGGCCCAAGGGAAGGGGCTGGGATTCAGCTGACTCAGGTTCATCCCACAGAGTCTTTGGGGCGGTCTGGAGTAGGGCGGAGACAGCTAGAAAAAGGCACAGGCAGGATAGCTTTCTCTCTTTATTCTCCACCCCCCCACCCACTCCACTAACTGACCTATCCCCACAAGCACCCATGGCCGGCCTCATGCCAGTCCTGTCTTCATCTTATTCCATGCTCGGCAGCCCCAGCAGGGCTGAGCACACTCCTTCCCTCCTTCTGGGACCCCCACATTGCTCACCAGCCTGCTCTGAATCCCGTGGTGCAGGGCCACGCCCCTTCAGACTCAGCCTTAGGTGGACAGGCCTGTACATACTCAGGACCCCAACCACCACCACCAAGTCCACCTCCCTTCCACTGTGAGTGGCATCAGCAGCTACGCAGTGTTCCTGCCCCAGACCTAGCTGCTCTCTGCCTTCCCTCTCTGCGGCCCACATCCCGTGGCACTGTGTCCAAAACCGACACTGAATCTGATCTCTTTCCATAATCTCTATGGCCACAATCCCAATCCAATCCCCTAAAACCCCCTGCCTTCTGAAGAAGTCTCCTGATAGCACCCCCCCCCCCCCGGCCTTAGCCCTTGTCCTCTGCACTCTTGTGACCACACTGCCATCAGAATGATCTTGGTACAGGGACAATGAGATTATGTCACTCCTCTACTGAAAGCTTTCAAGGGCTCCCTGCCCCAACTAGAACAAAATCCACACTTCCTCTCAGGGCACTCAAGGTCCCTCCTGATCTGCCTTCCCACCCCAGCCATGTCCTCTCCTCTCCCCTTCATTCACCACCCTAGAGCCACAGGGGCCTTCCATCCCCTGAGGGAACATGCCAAGCTTGTTTCTACCTCAGGTCCTTTGTCAGTTCTGATGGGTTGCATTGTGTCCTCTTAAAACGCGTATGTTGAAGTCCTAAACCCCAGCACCTCAAAATATGGCCTTATATATAAAGACAGAGTCATTACAGAGGCAATCAAGTGAGACTGAAGCCATTAGGGTGGACCCACATCCAATGTAGTTGGCGTCCTTATGAAAAAGGGGATTTCAGAGACAGTCATGCACACAGGGAGAACACCATGAGAAGATGAAGGCAGAGATAAGGGAGATGCTTCTACAAGCCAATGAGTGCCAAAGATTGCCGGCTAGCCGCCTGCAGCTAAGAAATAGGGACAGACCAGATTGTCTTTCACAGCCCACAGAACAAACAAATCTGGTCAACACTTTGATTTCAGACTTCCATCCTCTAGAACAATGATTGTCTGTTGTTTAAGCCAGCCCCTTTATGGTCCTTTGCTTCAGCCATCTTGGCAAACTGCTGTTCCCAACACATCTCCACAGGATAGGGCATGAGTTTTCCATTTGACAGCACATCAAGTCCATTCTTTCCACCTGACAATCTTCAGCTACCTTGTTTTTCACTGCCTGTGTGATATCCCATTGTTGGCCGTCTCATAATTTGCCTGACCATTCCTCCACTGACGGAGAGTTACAAGCTGCTCCCCACTTTTGCCACTAGAAATGACATTACCTCTAACACTTGCTGTGTGAAGACATGCTGAAGGGAATGCCTCGGCCGCCTGGCATGCCCATCTTAGATGCTGATATCTGCCAGCAAATGACTTTCCACAAAGACTCACCTGTGTACCTTCCACCAACCCATCCATGGTGCCATTTCCTCACACACTTGCGGCCCCTGAGCCTCATTATTCTCCTGATGGGTGACCAAACATCACCAGGTTCCTTGGTTCTGGATTACTTCTGACGGAGACTGAATGTCTCCCACAGGGCCAGGCCACTTCCATCAGGATACATAGCTACAGTGAATGTTTGCCTCTTTTCCGCCGCTCAGTTTTTTAGCCAACCCTTTTCTCATCATCACCATAAAATCACAACAAACGCGAACTGTGTGTGGAATCCCTAGTAGGAACTGATGTAACTGAAAAGGCAAAAAGGGGATTGACTCCCCTCCTACCCGGTGCTGCAGAGAGTACCTGCTTTGCGCCCTACCTGCACAACAAGGAAGATAAAGAGGAAAGGTCATTAAGTGCAAGACAGCAAAGCTGGTTCATGGCCCGAAGAAGGTCATCTACTTAGCAGGCATTGGAAACCAAGAAGAGCTGGGAGGGCCGGTCTTATCAGTAACACACATGTGCACCTCACAGTTTGGTTCGGCTAATCACAGCAGTGGGATCCTCAGCACCTGTCTGGGTCAAGGACACAGGGTGCACCAGCCCGCAGGACAGAAAATCATTTCACCACGTTGAACAGCATTCCTGCAGCTGAGCACACTCCATTCGAAGGGAGAAAAACGACACTTTCCCTCCCATTGTCGAGGGGCGAGGGTTTGGGGCTCTAAATCCCATTGTCCTCAGCTTAATTCTGGGTAAGTCACGCTGAGCACGGCGCCACAGGCCACAGAGCTGTGCACCGCCGGGCCTCGGGTCCAGGCGAGCTCACAGCAGAGGGGCCAATGGGAGGCAGGGAAGACCAGGCTGAGGTGGGGCCGCCGTGTGTGGAGCAGCACACGGGCCTTCTACTCGCAGACGCACGTCGCGGGTACACACGCTTAGAAGGAGCGGAGCCAAGACCCTGGCAAGAGCAGGGGGCAGGAAAAGGAGCCTTGGTCGCGCCCCGCACGGGTTCCCAGCCCCACATCCAGGGAAGCCCCAGCCCTCAGGTACCGTCCGCAAGAAGGCTGAGCACATAGGCTCCTGCATCATGGGCCCTGGCACCTGTCAGCCCCGGCAGGTCTCACGGCCTCCGGAACCACGGACCCTGCGAGTCGTGGGTGCCCAGGGCCGACTCCGGCTTTTCGCCACAGGGAAGAACTGTACTCCGCCTCCCCGAGACCCAGCGAGGCCACTGGAGCCAGGACAATGGGATCCCAAACGAGGAGACGTGGGCCGCGGTGAGAAGAGGGAGCGCCTGGCTAGTGTCGAGGCTGCAAGGTCGCTGCCGCTAACTCCGGGAAACCGGTGGCCAGTGACAAGCGCTAGCGGTCCAGAACTCTACCGCTTTAATGCAGCACCCGTCATCCCTTTCATGAAGAACGCACGTGGGCACGTAATCACGCATGTACGCACACCACGCAGGAGGCACGTACTCAGCCATGCATATAGACAGCCCCAAGTCATTATGAATCTCGCATTCTCGAAGACACGCACTGACGACATCACGCACGTACGCACGCCCTGGCTGCTAGGAGACGCTATTCCCTTTACCAGGCCCTCATGCGCGCCAGCCAGCCAGGCCAAGGCCAGGGGAGCTCGAGACTGGCAACCTGGGCGAAGAACCGGAAGGAGGAAAAGGAAACGGAGGGAGAAAGAGTAAGGGGAAGGGCGGGACGAGGCCACCAGGCAGGAGTTTTGGGTCCAGAGCTGCTATACCAGCAGGGAGGAGCTGGGAGAAACCGCTGGGGAGTGGGTGGAGGCGGAGTTGAGAGGAGGAGGGTGGAGCTGGGGGAGGGGCAGGGCAGGACTGAGAGAAACGATTGGGGGCGGTGTTGAGGGCGGGGCTAGGATAAGAGGTGGGGGTTGGGGCAGGGCCGGGCGGAGCTGAGAGAAACCACTGCGGGCAGGGCCGTGGGAGAGCTGAGCAAGGAGAGGCTGCAGAAGGAGCTCGCGGACTCCCGAGAACCAGCAGGGGGAGGTAGGAGTCCGCTGAGAGTAGGAGGGCGGGGGAGAAAGAAACCGCTGGGAGGGGCTGGAGGCGGGGCTTTGAAAGCAGCTGCGCGAGAAGCAGGGCGGGGCTGGGAGAAGCAGGGCGGGGCTGGGGTCCAGAGGGACCGTCTTTTTAACGCCTCTTTTGCAGGTGATGAGAAACGTCCACACTCTTAATGTCTTGCCTCCTGTAAGTCGCCCGACACATAGCCCAACTTCCCTGGCAAACTTGCTTTTCAAACTCTCTTCTCCATCTCAGTCAGGGGCTCAGGTTCTGTAGTGCTGCCATGCTTTACTCCTCTGTCCCTCCCCTTATCTAGTCTCCCGCATTGACTTCATAAGCAAGTTTTGAGTCCCTGCCTCTGGAGTGCCTGATGAGACAAAACTGCTCCTCGTCCTGCATCCCTGCTGCTACTTCCAGAACTCAGGGCTCGTGGTCTGGAGCCTGCACTGTTCCATGAGCCTCCTGACCAACCTGGAAGCCTCTGTCTTTCCTCCCTCAGGTCTGTCCTCCACATTCCATTGGCTCAGTTTCTAAGTCATAGATCTGTCCCCAACAATCTAGTGAAAACGCGGCCGGGCCTTCTCAGGTTTAAGCCCTAACAGTTCAAGGAGTCAGCTCAGCTCTCCCCACCCTTAAGCCGAACACTCTTTGGGTTCACGCTGTGCTGTTTAGTCACTGGTCCCCACCAGCCTGCTGTTCCAGGTCTCCTTGCTTTGCACCGTTAGTTCCCATGGCCTTGTCCTGGTGCACTCCTGGCCTCCTTCAAGGCACAACTTTAATGTCACCTTCACATCCCCACCCCAAGTATTAGGGGCTTTTGTCTCCAGCTCTGATAGCATTTTGTACATCCCCCATTCCCACCCCACATTAGGCTGTTGCAACTCCAGGTGGTAATTGCTCTGTAAGAGTCTGGCTGCCGCAGGGTCTCTTGAGTTCCTTGAAGGAACCGCTGGTGTTTTACTCATTTCTGAAACTGGGTGCCCAGGGCACAGTATCTGCTTAGTAAGTGTTTAATCAGCAAAGGGCTGCTTTCTTGTTTTTTCTAGTGAGATGCACCTACTTCTCCCTGGAGAAGCTCGAGGAAGCAGGAATACTGAAGATGAGGTGAGGAGGAGAGGGTCCCTCTTCATGGGATGTAGGCCGTAGGGCTGCAGGGGGCCTCCAGATCCCCAGTTGCAATTCCTATGCATGCTAGCATCCCCTCCTGGGTTCCTTCCCCCCAAGAATGGTTGCCAGCTTCTGCCAAACACCCCAGAAGCTGCTGGGAGTGGTTTCAAATCATGAGTGAGGATCCCCGGAATGGTGGGTTGCTGTTGCTCCGCCTGTAGCCTCTTGTATGAAGAACTAGAACTTGCATCATGAGCTGGATAGTCACCGTGTGGCTGCTAGCGGGAAAGCCCGTGGTGGCCACATAAGGGCTCCCTTTTCCAACTCTCCCAGCTGCCCCTCACTCTCACTCCTGGGTGTGCTGGGCAGTGGGGTACAATGCGCACGTGGGTGCACGCTCTCCCTGAGACCTCCCACAGAGGTCTCTTCTGTGGTGGGATGAGGAGAGGAAGTCCAAGTAAAGCAGCTGCAGCAGTGAGTGGGCCTAGGAAGAATGGCATCACCAGGCCAGGCAGGGATGTGGGTGGTGTGCAGCTATCCCTGAGAAAGGGACCAGAATGCACCCGAGTCTTCATTTTCATTCCCAATAGCAGGTCAGCACCAGACCCGAAAACGCTCTGACTTCTGCCCTCCACGCCATACTCTCTTCACCTGCTGCCTCCTCATTCCTCCCATTAACAATGTCCTGGCAGGAACAAGACTTTCCCCTCCCTCTCTGCTTGTCTCTTAGCAGATCAGGTCGGCCTCCACCTCCCCAGGCCCGTCCTGCTGCTGCCTTCCCCTGTGGGGCCCGCCGTGGATGCTCTGGAGCCCCAGGCAATAGCCAACTGTGAGCGTGCGTGCGGGGCCTTCTGGGGTTCCTTGCTGTGCTCCCATGAAACCGCTCTGCTTGGCTGCACCCCACTAGCACACACTCAACTGACCCCAACTCCTGGGGCTGGGGGTGTGTCTCCTCAAGGTCTGCTTTCTTCTTCAGGCCTTGCTTGCATGCCCATTGTGCCACACGTTGTGTCTCTTTTAGGAAGTCCTTGTCTTTTCCAAAGATCCTGCTTTGCAGCTGACTGTACCCGCTGCCCGTCTCCGCCAGGATACTGCCTCCTTCCTGAAACCACAGCCCCACTCAGGTCTTCCTTCCATCCTAATCCCTGGGGAGCCCCCTGCAGAGCTCCCTGTCCATCCCAGTGGCCTTCTGAGCCTTACCTCCCCTCCCTTCCCCTCCCCTCCCCTCCCTTCCCCTCCCTTCCCCTCCCTTCCCTTCCCTTCCCCTCCCTTCCTTTCCCTTCCCCTCCCCTCCCCTCCCCTCCCCTCCCTCTCCCCTCCCCTCCCTCTCCCCTCCCCTCCCTCTCCCTTACCTCTCCCTCGCCTCTCCCTCACTTCTCCCTCCATGGCAGGCTAGCCTCCCTGGCTAGAGCTGTCCCCTGGGAATTTGCCGTCACTTTCCCTCTCTGTGCTCAGCATCCCTGGTTGAGAGGTTTAGGAGGAAGAGGAGAGGACGAGAGGAGGAGAAGAGTCCCTCTCTTCCGCCCACATGCTCCCCTAGGGAAGCATTCTTTTTGCTCAGCGTGATTTCTGTGCGACTCCTCCTGTTTTCTGAGCCTGTCACCCCCTTCCTCTTCCCTTGGCTCCCCACTGAGACTTTCCAGAGTGCAGCCACCTCCCCTGGCTGTGCCTCTTTGACTCTGAGGCCCAGGAGGAAGTTGCCCTCCTCTGGAGAGGGTTCACGTTTGATCCAGCCTAGTGTTCTGGGGCACGGCCAGTCTGGGACCACTTTGACCCTAATTCATGATTTCCCTTCAGATGCTGCTTGTTTGGCCTGCCTTCCTCGTCTAGGAAATGGATTTTGCTCATTTTTCTATTGAGTCACTTGCCTTGTTGGTATGGAGTTATAGGAGCTCTTTCTGAATTCTGCCTCAAACCCCATGTTGGTTTTTTGTATTTCAGAGACCACATCTGCTCAGGGGTTTATTCTTCCGTCTGTTTGCAGGGCTGTTTTGTACTCAGTATTCACCTAAGCACTCCAAACTGTAAGTAACCCCAGAGGTCGTGGAGTGTCCCACTGCCCCTCCATCTGGAGGCTGTGACACCTCCCCCAAAGAGGAGGTGCTCGCATGCGTCCAGTACCCTGCCCATTAGATTAGAGAGGGCTCCCTTCTTTGCTCTCTTGCACTCATTTGTCCGCCTTTTAGCTTTCCTTTTCTGTCCTGGACTCACACAGGGTCGCATGAACGTGTGGTGTAGCAGGAGGAGACAGGTAAAGTGGAGGAATAGGAGCTGGAGGGGAGCAAAAGGGAAGAAAAGAGGAGGGGGAGGGGGTGGTTTTTTGTATTTCTTGTTAATCTTACATCTGCTCAGGTTTATTCTTCCGTCTGTCGCAGGGCTTGTACTCAGTATTCACCCAAGCACTCCAAACTGTAAGTAACCCCAGAGTCGTGGAGTGTCCCACTGCCCTCCATCTGGAGGCTGTGACACCTCCCAAAGAGGAGGTGTGCGCTCCAGCAACGCTCCATTAGATTAGAGAGGGCTCCCTTCTTTTGTTTCTTGCACTCATTTGTCTCGCTAGCTTTCCTTTTCTGTCCTGACTCACACAGGGTCGACATGAACGTGTGGTGTAGCAGGAGGAGACAGGTAAAGCGGGAGGAATAGGAGCGGAGGGGAGCAAAAGGGAAGAAAGAGGAGGGGAGGGGGAAGAGAGGGGGAGTGGGTGGAAGGAAGAGAAGGAGGAGGTGAGAGGAGAGGAGACAGAAAGAGAAGAAAAGGAGAGAGGAGACAAAGAGGAGAGGGAGCAGCAAAGGAGGAAGAAGAAGAAGAGGACAAGAAGAGCAAGGAGGAGGAGGGGGAGAGAGGAGTAGGGAAGAGTAGAAGGACCGAAGGAAAAGTGAAAAGGATAGGCAGATGGGAGGAGAGGAGGCGGAGGAGAGGAGGAGATGAGCAGGAGGGAAAGGAGAGGAGGGATGAGTGGGGAGGGAGGAGGAAGTTAGAACAGGAAAAGGTAGAGAAAAGGGAGGAGGAGAAGAGAGGAGAGAAAGAGAAGGAGAGGAGGATGGGGGAGGATTGGAGAGGAAGGAGTAAAGGAGAGAAATAGGAGGAGGGAGGAAAGGAGGAGGTGGGTAGGAGGGGAAGAGGAGAGGAGGAGCAGAGGAGGAGGGAGGAGAGGAAAGGTAGAGTAGATTTTGGAGGAAGAGGAGAGATGGAGGAAGAAAGGAGGAGGCAGAGAAGTGAAGAAAGCAGAGAGGAGGAGGCAGAAGAAAGGAGGACCAGGAGGAGAGGAGGAGGAGGAAAGGACGAGGAGGAATAGAATAAGGGGAGCAGAGGCATGAGGAGGAGGAGGAGGGAGAGGGAGAGGAGGAGGAACAGAGTTGGAGGAGGCGGAAGAGAGAAGAGGAGGAGGAGGAGAGGAAGAGAGAAGGAAATGAGAAGGAGAATAGAGGAAGAAGAAGAGGAAAGAAAGAGGAGAGGATGAGGAGCGGAGGAGAAGGAGAGCAGGAGGGGGGAGGAGGAGGAGAATAAGAGGAGGAAATGAGGAGGAAGAAAGAAGGACAGGAGGTGGAGAGGAGGAAGAGAGAATTAGGAGGGGAGGAAGACGGGGAGGGGGGGAAAGGAAATGAGGAGGAGGAGGAGGCTGCAGCGCCCTTATCAGGCTCCAGTTCTCGGTGTGCCCCGTTCTGTGAGACACTCCGCTCTGGTCAACCCTGGCCTGCAGAGGATTCCCGCGCTGGATCCCTGAGGGATGCTGGCGCCCTCTCTCCAGCACATTCCTGATGCCCTTGCTGACACATGTGTCCTGTGGGCCCTCTCCTGAAACATGATCCTCCAGGGTGTCTTCTGGCCTCACCTCTTCTGTCCAGTTCCAGCAAACTCACTTTGCTTAGCCTTTGAATCCCTTCCTTCACCATCTGCCATGACAGTTCGGGCCTTTCACCGTCACTCAGGCCTGGACCATCACTGATGCCCATCCCATGCCATCCACAGGTTTGCCCCATCCCTTCGGCTCCCTACCAGGGCATTCAGATGTGTTGAGCAGCAGAGTGTCTCCAAGTCCCTTGTGTAGTTTTTGTTTCCGGCCCCCACTGGTTGAGCTGCATCCGGGTCCCATCCCACAGGGACCCCCCGGCCACTGCAGGTGCATGCTGATCCTGCAGCTCCTCAGGGGTGTCATCGCTTTCCCCCTTCCCAGACCCAGCACACCCTGCCTGCGCAGCTCTGTGCTGCACCTTCACTCTAGTCACGGGTGTGGCAGTCAGCTCACCAATTCCTCCTGCTTCCCTGGGACTCGCTGGCTTTTAGCACCGCAAGTCCCTCAGCAAACTGGGACTGTTGATCACCCTACCCGGCAGCCAGTGATAAGGTGAGGGCCACTCCTGGGAGGGAGGACACCTGTGGGGAAAATTCTTGTGTTATTTATTTCTCCTTCGGGGTAGGGTGCCTGCAGTGCTTCATGGGAGGGGCTGGGCTGATGCTGCAAGCTCAGAAGTTTCAAGGGCATCTAGGGAGACCAGATATTCAGAGACCTTCTCCTCGATGTGCCTGTTCCATGTATCAGGGATGCAGGTTTTCCCAGCAGGACTTGTGTCATTGGCATGACAGACCTGCCTTGGCTGAGCGTTCAATTGTCTTTGGAGTTCAGCCACCTTAGCAAGTCCTGGGTTTGTTCTTCAGACTTCGCTGCTTGCCCATTGCTTGGATCGGGGGCTACTTTGTAAACCACCAGGAAGACTCCAGTGTTTCTGCTTAATTTTTAGATGTTTGTTAATTGCCCTTGGCCTCTCATTAATCCCGGTGGGTCCTTCAGGAAACATACCGTTCCCTGAGTTTTCATTTCCAGGCATCTGCCCTGCCTGGATCTCCTCGCCATCCAGGAACTTCCTCTTCACAAGCCGGCCATCCCAGCAAAAGTTCTAACATCAAAGGTCTAGCAACTAGCCTGCCATCTTGTGCCTAGAGCCACCTGCGTGCCACCTACCCCCGAAGATGGGAACCTCGTTGCCAGTTGGGGAGATGCAGGGCAATCCTGTACCAAGACCCCATCTTACCACCTGTTTTCTCAGACCACTCTGGAACCCACTGTCTCAGATTGGGTCCTCCAGGAAGCAGACTGTGAGAGGGAGTTGGCAGGACCAAAGGTTTACTGGGGCTAACTAACCCTCAGGAAAGGGACAGGAAGGAAGCAGGGCTGGAGAGCAGGTTGAGCCCAACCTGACAGTCTTGAGCAGCCCAGCAGGGAGGTGTGGAGCAAGGGTTGCCCACTAGAGGGGCCTGCATTGGGCTTGGGTGGTGGGGTCCACATGGTACCTGGCACACAGCAGGCTGTGCAATCCATATTAACTGCCTGGATGAATTAATGCCCAGGAAAGGTGCCCTGGGGAACGGGTATGTGCTGAGCACAATAGGGAAGGGCCCAGCATCTGCCTTGGCATAGGCAGAACTGTGCTGTGCCCTGCAACAGGCCACCCGAGAGCTGCTTTCGTCTTGTGTGTGCATTAGACAACTGCCAGGGGCATGAAGGGGATGTGCTTCCAGGGCATTTGCTGGCAGGGTGTCTCGTGATCTCTTGGTATTGGTGTGAGCACAACCTGGCAGAAGAGGGCAGATCTCAGTGCAAAGTATCATGTCAAAAAGCAGATCGAAGCCAGGCCCCCTCCTGGAAGAGGCTCCTTGAAGGTAGGTGCACACTCATGTCTTTGTTACTTGTAAGGGAACATCTTACAGGCAAGAGGAGTTAGGTGAATGTGAAGAGGAAGGAACTGCTCACTCTGGGCAAGGGGCTGGGGGAGGCTTCGTAGAGGAGCGGGTGTTTGAGCTGGGCCTTGAAGGTCGAAAGGGTTTTGTTAGGTGGGAAATGGGGGAAGGACAGCCTGAAGGGGTTAGGTACCTTCAAGGAGCCCAGAGAAGGTTGGTGGCTGGAGCAGACCCATTCGTAGAGTGAAGTCGTGGAAGAAGAGGCTGGGAAACTAGATTGGGTCCAACTCCTAAAGGCCCACTGAAGGAGTGTGGGTTGCACGCTGGGTGCAGCAGGTGAGTGTCCTCACTTGGGTTTCACTGTCAGCATTTTTAAAAGGCAAACTGGTTCTCTTCCTGAGGAGAATTCACTGATTCACTGATGTGGCCAGTAAGTCATCTGACAAACCTTTGTGTACTTCTGATGGGATAGGAGTGTTTGTAGACAACAGTCACACAAATATGCAGCCCAGTGCAGCTCAGGAGCAGCCTTCCATGGATAAGCCATTGGTACCTACAGTGTGCTCCTGTCCTTGCTAATCTGAACACATGGGTAGTAGTAACCTTAAGCGTGTCTCAATCTTCTGACTTGTGATGAGGTTTCCAATTCTTGTTCCTGACTTTAGAATGAAGTTTGGAGAGATGTCATTAAGTCTCTAGGTTCTGAGGATTACTGTGGGGTGGGCAGAGGGAAAAAAGGGTATTGGGGCCAGATGTTCCTGTGCTTCTACCAGAAAGTTGATTTGCCCAATGTACCACCCTCACTTGGCAGGCCTGAGCAGTGGCCTGCCACTCACAACCCAGAAAAAGAAGGTACAGTGCGGGCTTGCCCTGGCGGGCGCTTGGATGCCCTAAGCTGCAGCATCCACACCAGGTGGGATTTGGTAGGGTAGGCCCCCCCATCCACTGTGTCTGATCATACTGCCTTTGAAAGAGGAGGGTGGATGATGAAGACAAGACGACGAGATAGGGTGGCCTCAGCATGTTGCAGCACCCAACTGGAACATTTGCAAATGATACTTGGAGAAAGCTTTAGGAAAGAGGCCCACTTCATTTATGAAATGACACTAGCTAATGTTTGACCTTAGTCACATGTTCCTTGATTCCTCATTTTGCCCTGTGTTGGCTGACTCATGCAGCTTCACTTTTAATTAAAGGTGGGCTGTGATGAGAGTCATGATCAGTGAGTGGCTTCCATAGCAGAAAGTTCTGTGTAGTTCTTGGGGGATGTGAGTTTAAGTATGAGGTGCTAAGACGAATATGTCCATACATTGTATTCTATTTCCTCTATCCTTTCCCTCCTCTAACCATTTCTGCCTTCTTCATCTTTCTAACTTTCCCAAGGCATTTTACATCAGATTTCAGATATAGAACAGTGGATGTTAGAACAAACCCAAATTCCTAATGCTTGTTACCATGAAAACATGGCAACACCATTCACATTTTCTTAACAAATGGCCTGTACCATTCAGCCCAGGCATTGACATAGGAGCCCATTGTTTGCATCCTCTGGGTCCTTGTAGTTCATATGCTGGAGCAATGTATAGAGGCGCACAGAAGGGCTGAGAATGTGGCCATGAGGTATGTAACAATGAGGCCCAGAGCCTGAGCTTTGGTGTCTAGCAAACCTAGGTTTGAATGTTAGCTCTTTGTGTTCCTGTGTGACCTTGTTGGTTACTCGTGTCTTTGTGTCTCCTTCTCTTATAAACCAGGAGGTACAAATGCCACTCGTGTCACAGGGCTGTTGCTGGGACATACTCTTGCACCTTGTGTTCTCTCTTTCTGGGACTCAGGTTCTCAAGATTTGCTTCTACATTTACAGGTTGGAGATTATTCCAGCAACGCTGAGGAAACTTTTCTTTTTTCTCAGCTTTGCAAATTTCAGAGATTTCCAACAGTGTTCGAGGGACTGTGATGCGCTCTTGCAAAAATCCCATGTTTTTTGAAGAATCTCAGTTGTGCTATCTAGAAAATGAATCAGTTAATCTAGAACATGGTTTTCAAACCTATGTGGCCATGGAATGTCATTTTGGAGGGACGCTTTCACAGAATGTAAGATTCTGAGTGAACGCTTTTTTTTTTTTTTTTTTTTTTTTGAGACAGTCGCTGTGTGGCCCAGGCTGTAGTGCAGTGGGGCAATCTCTGCTCACTGCAACCTTCGCCTCCTGGGTTCAAGCAATTATCCTGCCTCAGCCTTCCAAGTAGCTGGGATGCCATCATGCAAGGTGCATGCATGCCATTACGCATGGCTAATTTTTGTATTTTTAGTAGAGACAGGGTTTCGCCATGTTGGGCAGGCTGGTCTTGAACTTCTGACCTCAGGTGATCTGCCCGCCTTGGCCTCCCAAAGTGCTGAGATTACAGGTGTGAGCCACCACACCCAGGTGAAAGCTATTTGCTTTAAGCCCTTGAAAAAAGTTGTGCCACTTCCTTTTGGTATCCTTGGTTTGGTAAGGTATCATTTTTCTCACATTGCTTCCAAGTTTTTCTTGTTTTTTTTTTTTTTTAAATTATTATCATTATTATTATTATTTTAAAGACAGGGTTTCACTTCATTGTCCAGGCTGCAGAGCAGCATTGCAATCATAGCTCACTGTAACCTTGAACTTTTGGGCTCAAGCAATCCTGCCGCCTCAACCTCGCAGGTAGCTAGGACTACAGATATGAGCTGTCATGCCCAGTTAAGTTTTTTTTGTTTTTATTTAAGAGTTCTCAGAAGTTTAACTCAAGTGTTTTAGTGTAGAATTTCTTTGGATTTATTCTCTTTGGGATTTGTTCAGCTTCTGAAGTCTGCAGGGTTATGTCTTTTGTCAAATTTGGGAAATTTTCAGCCGTTACTACTTTGATTTTTCATCCCCACACTTTTTCTCATTTCCTCTGGGACCCTTATGACACAGATGTGAGATCATTGTTCATAGTCCCACAGGTACCTAAAGCTCTGTCCATCTTGTTTTCCCATGTATTTTCTATTCGTTTTTCAGAATGGGAAATTTCTGTTCTGTCTTCAAGTTCACTGGTTCTTTCCTCTGTTCTTTCTATTCTGCCGGTGATTCCTTTGTAGAGTTTTTAAAATTTCAGTTATGGTATTTTTCAGTTCTAAAATTTCCATTTGATTCCTCATTATGTCTTCTATTTATTTTTTGGCTGAGACTTTCTATTTTTAGTTTGTTTCAGATGCGTTCTTAATTGCTTAATGAAGCATTTATATAATGGTGGCTTTCAATTTTTTTTTACAGATAATTCTAACATCTTTGTCATCAGTGTTGACATCTCTTGATTGTAGCCTGTCATTCCATTTGAGATCTTCTTGGTTCTGGGTATGATGTGTGACTTTTGATTGAAATCTAGAGATTTTCATATTATGTTACTAGGTTTAAGGTGTTATTTAAACTTTGTTTTAGCTGGCATCCTCTGACATTACTCCAGCAGAAGAAAGGGAAGGATCATGCCGCATTACTGCCTGGTGAGTGCAGTAGTCTACCTTCCCCACATGGCCTCCATTGATTCCTGAAATGGGTGGGGGTACTCCTTGTTTCTGCTGGGCAGGAGTGGACTTTTTGGATCTGATCTGGGGCTGCACTGATACCTTTGTGGCTGGGAGGGTTTGATATTTTTCAGCACTGTATTCAGTATCACCTGCACAGACACCTTAGGGGATGGGGACTTGCTATTGCCTGGCAGGGGTGAAAATGCCAGCTCCCTGATTGGCCACCTCCAACAGCACCAAGGTAGACAGGAGGGATGTTACAGCTTAGCAAGCATGTTACACTGAGCCCCCTAGTTGACCTTTGCTGGCATGTGTGGAAGTGGGGATCAAACTATATTTCTGTGGTGTTTAACTAGAGTAAAGCAGCTTACTGTCTAAAAGTTTTCTATCTTGGTAAGTTACACTTTCTTGGTCCTCTGGCTTTGGTTCTTCTTTCCTCCCTCCCTTACTGTCCACCTTTCCTCCCTCTTTTCCTTCATTCCTTCTTTCTTCTTTCCTCTGTGTTTGTTGACATTTCTGGATCTAGCTCCTTTGGCTCCATGTCACAGTTAATATATGGGGCAAGAAAAAAGAGAGAGAGAGAGAGAGAGAGAGAGAGAGAAAGAGAGGAAGGAGGAAAGGAAAAAAGGAGAGGAGAGGGAAAGAAAGAGGGGTGTAGAGAGGGAGGAGGGAAGAGGAAAGGAAGAGATAAGGGAAAGAGGAGGGAGAGAGAGAGAGAGGGGGAAAGGGAGGGAAGGGAAGGAAGGAAACAAAAGAGGAGGGAAGGGAGGAATGGGAAAGAAGAGGAGAGAGGGAAAAGAAAGAAGAAGAGAGGCTACACAGAGAACTAATTAACTCCATTGTTCCTCAGGTCCACAAGGTCCTATCTGATCTGCCTTCACTCTATACGCCTTTCAGGAGTCTTATGTTTGATTTGTGTATATTATCAGGGTTTTAGGTCACTTAGTTTAGGCTAGGAAAAGTATATACTCTAGTTTTGTGGAAGTGGAGTGCTTCTAGACCTCTTTTTTATACAAAATATGTACTTGTGCATATTTTGTATCAAAATATATAATGTACATGTCCATTTTGTACATGTATATAAATTGTATATAAGTATTTGAGGTTATAAAAATAACCAAAGACACCAAAAACTGCCACAGGTGGATTGAGAGAAGACGTTGAAATACCTCCCCTGCCAGACACTCCTCCTTGACAGGTAGAACCCTGAAAGCTGTAGTGTCACCACTGCCCTGTCCTGTACCTACCTATCTTTTGACTCATTTCCTCCAAGCTCAGGTTTTCAGTTTTCGTGTACCACCTAAAACCCAGGCTGTGGGAACTGCAGCACAATCATCAAATTCAAAAAAGAAACAGGACATCTTGCTCAGATTTTCAAATTACCATAGATGGAGTAAACTAAACTGATTCAGATCCTTACTTCCCGATTACAAACAACACAACCTTCATGCCTATTTAAGCGTCCTTACAAAGATGGTTTGAATATTCCAAGTTAAATACAGTCTTTTTAAGTTACAGCACCCTTTTTGATACAAAATGGGCATGACAGAAGTATAGTGAGTAGTGTTATAAAAATAACCAAAACACACCAAAAGCTGCCAAAGATGAGATTTGAGAAAGTGTGGGAAATACACCACCTGACATGAGACCTTGCTAGCTCATCTAATAGATGGCGCTGGGAGCTGCAAATGGTGTGTCCCAACCTTCCAGCGTCTGTGAATTCTCCAGAACAGGGCTGAAACCTGTTCTGCACTGAGCCTCTTTCTCTAAAGAGACCCCAAGTTGAGAGGAGCCTCTTACCCACTCATCTATAATCAAAGCAGACTTGATGTACATCAAGAGTTGCCCAGTGATTCTGGTATGAGCCTTCCTCCCTCTGGCTGTCAGTACTGGGAGCATGGTGGGAGACTTTCAGATGGCTCGGTGGAAGGCGCAGAAAGAGTTCCCCTGACTCCTGCCCCAGTCAGTCAGCCCCGTGGGCACAGTGTAGCCACTGCTCAACCTCTCCACTCTCTTCTTAGGGAGGAGCGAGTGACCTTGACCCACGAGGAGCTGATAGATGGAGTCGGTTATCGGCAGGCTCTAGGCCACCAGCTTGGGTCCGTTTGTCCCTTTTAGATTCAGTATGGCGGGAATCTAAAGGTTGAGATGGAAAGCTGCAGGATGGCAAAGTGGGGACCCGGCCGATGGGACATAAGTCCACCCTGAAACCATTTGGGTGCGTGTGCAGATCTTGAGAAGATCTTTAGCGTCAGCGTGTTGGCATTCTAAATACTGACGCAGCTTGGCTCTGCAGCCTAATGAATCTTTCTTACGGCGAAGTGGCTCAGTTCTGCCTGAAGTCGGCACCTGCACATCTCATGAAATAACTGTGATTGCCCGACTTTGAGACTCAACTGTTATCTAGAACACCCAGCTCGTCTCTGTGCTGCACATGACAGTGTGAAATACAGAGAGTCAAGACAGAACGCATGCTGTGCAAGACCAGATCATCTAAGTCAAGACAAACAATAACTAACCTAAGCAGCTGCTGAATCTGTTCCCCATGCCCAGAGGTTTTGGCTCCTGCCCGGAGGCCCAAGATGAGGACCTGGCAGCACAGGAGGCCCCTAAGGGAATGATGAGCTCAAGGAGAGGTGGCCAGACCACCTGAGACACCTGTTGAGTGCACTTTCCCATGTCCAGAACACCGAGCTCCTGAGACAAGTGCAGAATGCCTGTGTGGGCCCCAAGGATCCATCTCAAGATCAGGAGGAACAAAAACCCAATAACCTTGACAGGCCCCTCAGGCAGCCTGTTAAATCCCACGTTCCCATGCCCAGAGGTTTTTGGCTCCTGCCCCAGAGGCCCAAGATGAGGACCTGGCAGCACAGGGAGGCTAAGGGAATGATGAGCTCAAGGAGAGGTGGCCAGACCACCTGAGACACCTGTTGAAGTGCACTTTCCCATGTCCAGAACTGCGAGCTCCTGAGACAAGGTGCAGAAACCAGATTACACTTATCTTTCTGACCTAATTCACAGAATGGGCAGCAGCCCCCGCCTAACCACTGCCCCCTCACTGAGCAACAAGTCAGCAACAGCAATGCTGGCCACATGGGAGGCCCTCAGGTGTCCTCAACCCACCCCTAGGTTTACTGACAGACCCTGCAGGGAGGAGGGTGGGGCGCCGAGCTGGACTTCACCCAACATTGCCACCTCCTCAACCCGTGTCCTGCCTACCACCCAAGGAGCTGAAGGACCCAACAGCACACCCTCAGTGGTTTCTGAAAGGTAGCAAAGCTCTTTCTACCCTTTTCCACTTTGGGTGAGAACATGTAGC